ACCCATCTCATATTCCTCTTGGGTATAGACACGGACTTTGAGTAAAGCCTCAGCATCAGCCAGCTTCTTCTGGGTCTCCTCCAAGTCTTCCTTGGATTTCTTCAGCTCATCAGCGAGCTTGGAGGAGGAACCTTTCAGCTCGTTCAGCTCCTGCTGAATTTGGGAAGCCTTTGTCTGGGCTTGGGCCACTTCAACTTTCTGGATCATCAGTTGATCCTCAGCCTCTTGGAATTTAGCTCTTTGGGCTTCAGCAGCAACAGCAGCCTCTGAGAGTTGGACATCTTTGGCCAGGAGCAGCTCTTCAGCAGCCATTCGGCTGGCTTCAAGAGCCTCTAGACATTGCTGCACTTCAGCTTGTGCAGCAGTTCCTTCCTGAATTCGGCTCTCAACAGCAGCCTTGAATTTGGAGACGTCCACTCCCATGTGCTCCTGGAGGAATTTTTCCCCTTCCATCAGTGGGGGAAAAACTTCCTTCTCCATAGCATCGCAGAAGGTTTTGAGGGCTTCAGCAGCTCTTTTCTCATACTCCTCAACCTCCTGCTGCTTCTCTTCAGCTGCTGCTTGCTTCAGCTTAGCAAGCTTAACTTCCTCTTCAGCCACCTTCTTGTCGTGCACAGCAGCGTCTACCCTATCTTGTAGGGTATCTATCAGCTCTACAGTGAGAGTCTGATTGTGCACAAACTGAAAGCAGGAAGACAAAAATAAATAAATAAATAAAAAAAATATATATATAAAGAGTTGAATTTCAGAGGAAATGAAGACAAGGAAAATTACCTGCATCATCAGCAGTTGGTTAGACCTGGCTGGGTCAGGAACTGATCTGCTGGATTCGCCCATCCCATCAGTGGCCTTCAGCGACCAGATCCTTGCCCTGTCTACTTCGGACATGCCAGCAAAATTGCCGAAGTAGGCTGCAGCTCCTTCTCGGTTCTGACCCCATATGAGGTCCCAGATGTGGTCTGGGATTGGAATTCGGGGGGCCGAGAAACCCATTTCTCCAGAATGCAGAGTCTGGAAAGAAGGGAAGGATGACGATGGAGCTTGATTAGCTTTGGTTGTCTCAGCATCATCCTTCTCAGAGGAGTCAATTACTATGACCTCCTCTTCTTCAGGGGTGAGGACGAAAGCCTCAACCTCTCTTGCGATGTCTGCCGTGAAGCCCTCAGCACTGGACATCACGGCATCCTTATTTTCGTGCTCAGCAGCACTCTTCTTGATTTCTTCTTGGACCCCTCCCTTAGGTTCGGGAGTTCTCTGATCCACCTCCATCTCAGGAGGTGGCGGAGGGGTCTTTTGAGGTGATTGGGGTGGTGGCTGGGGAACCCTCGGCGATCCGTTGCCTTCCTCGGGTTCCCTTATTGCGACGCCGATGGTCATCGGCCTCCGCTGAAAGTCATGAGGGCCGATGATGGCCATCCTTCGGCGCCTTTTCAGAAGGGGCTGCTCGTCCATATCTGAGTCTGAAGACTCTTGTATTTGGTCTTCGGGACGAACAGGAGCTTTGCCTTCTCTGTGTCTGTTACTCTCTTCAGACTATAACAGACAGGGGGAAGAAGAATGTGAGTAAAAAAAAAAAAAAAAAAAAAAAAAAAAAAAAAAAAGAGAAAAGAAAAAAGAAAAAGTTGTCTGAAAGCTCACCGAGGTCTTCAGCAAAGCCTCGTCTTCTTCAGCTGCTCTAGCTGCAGCTTCGGCTTCAGCAGCTCTGGAGGACCCTTCTCCTCCTTCGCAAGCTTCGAGTACCCGTGCAACCTCTTCGGCTGTGCGGGCAGCTTCAGCTTCTTCGTCCAGCAGCTGAAACCAAGGGTCTCTCTTCTTCCACCAAGGCTTCTGCCTCTGATACAGAGCAACAACCTCAATTTGGAAGTGGGAAGAGTCTAGATGAACTTCCCTATGCCTCGGCTCAGTGATAGACGGGGCCCGTTCAGTTACAACTCGTTCTCGGTTGACACCAAGACGAGCGTAGTTAATGCCAACGTTGGTCTCGTCCCGCTCTGAAAAAAGGAAAGGGGAAAGGTTAGCTCAGATAGATCGGCACAGCATAAAAAAGCAAAGCGAGAGAAGAAAAAGAGGTAGTTAAAAAGCCTCGGCCCCAGCCGAAGAAGCTTACCATCCTTAAACTTTCGGCTGAGGCCAACAGCTGCTAGCATGTTCTCTTGGAAAACGTAATGCGTATCGGGGAGCCAAGTCTCCAGGATATGCTGCATTCGGCCACTGCCCCCCCGGTTCGGCAGCTTGCCGAAGATATGTTGCTGATCCAGGTTCGGATCCGCCCCGTTATCTGCGGGGGGACCTAGACTTCCCATTTCGGGATCAGGCTCAGCGAGGTACCGGGGAGCGCTGAAGACGCAAGGGTGGCCCGGATCTGTGGGTGCCCTAACCCAAATCCATTGACCTCTCCAGTCCTTGTCTGAAGAGTCATTTGGCCACATGGTCAGGTATTGGGGCCGGGACTCAATCCGGTACCACCCAGAACCATGGCTTCCGTGCCCACTTTGAATATTTGGCACTAGCCGATGGAGCTTTTTGAAGCAGTGCAGGTTCGGCACGTACTTGAAGAACTTGCAGACCCATAAGTATGTCATCACCCTTCGGATGCTGGTGGGGGTTAGCTGACATAGAGAGATGTTGTAATGGATCAGCAAGTCTCGGACGAATACGTCCAAAGGGAACCTCAGCCCGTACTGAAGCTGTCTCGTGTACACCCCCACATACCCCGGGGGTGGACGATGGATTCTATCGGATGCCGAGGGCATTCGGCACCAATACCCATCAGCTTCAAAAATGCCGTAATGCAACTCAATTTGCTCGGCAAATCGATATTGATCGGCGTTCTCTACCCACCATGAGTAGGGGCGGTTCTTTATCATGGCCGAAGCGACTTCGGCATTCTCCCATTCTGAAAACCCAGGGAGGATATCCCAAAGGACAGCGGGAACTTCATCATCCCGTCCAGAAGCGCTCGGCTCCTCCGTTCTTTGAGGAGGAGCCGAGGAAAGGGGAGTCGCCCTAATCCCTTCAGCAGGGTCAGACTCCGGCCTTTGACCATTCCAGGTCCCAATCCTGTTCCTAGGATCGGGAATCGGCCTTGCTCTTCTTGGAGCACGGGCTCTACCTCTAACTCCTCTTGCCATTGATTATTTCGAAGAGAAAAGTCGAATGAAAAGGGGAAGGAGTTCGAATTCGAAGAAAAATAAACTGAAATCAAAGGAATTTACCTTAATCTGAAGCGAAAGTTGCCGATTTACGAGTTCGTAGTGGCAAGTCTCAGTTTCTAAGCTTAATGCTCGGGGAATTTGCGAAGTTTTGATGCGGGTTCTTGGTTTCTCTCTTGAGAATTCTGGGTTTGTGTTGGTGAATAAGTGAGGAGAATGACGCGCCTCTGTTTATATCTCCAGGTACGGGATACGAGGAGTCTGCGTTTTAATTTCTCTTAAATACCCACTAAGTAACCATTAAACACATGATCTTGCGATTAAACTGCCCATTATCCGTCCAACTTCCGCAATCATTAACCGTTGTTATCTCATTAATTACGGTTTAAATTCAAATTTTTGGATCAATTAAATCATTTACTTCCCTCCTTTTCTGAATTAAATCAAACCCGACCCGTCATCCTTCCAAATCGGGTCTGGGGGCAAGTTGTTTGGGTCCAATTTAGTCCAAATTGGGCCTAAGCACTAAATGATCCAATTAAAAGCCCAAGGTCAAGGTTCAACTCTCCAATTGTGCAAAAGTCAAAGGTCAGCCCACAAAGCAAGCCAATTGGGCTAAGGCCCAACCTCTCCATGCATGATGAGGTATAAAAGCCATCATATTGACACATTCACACACGGACGTTCATATTCAGATTCTGATTCATATGCTCATTGAGATATTCTGATATATTCCATAAAAGCCTCAAGCTACAAACTCTCTTGCATAGTGTCTTCTTCTTACACATTGTACTGACTTTAGCATCGGAGGGGCCTTCCTCGACAACACCCCCGAGGCTAGTTTACGTGTGTTTACTGTGCAGGAAACCTTCGGCCCAACATAACTTGGACCGAATCCAGTCTTCTCCATCTCAGCGGACCTTCGGCAAGGTCCCATTGTTTTCACCCGAAACACCAGATATCAATTATCACAAAAATAAATAAGAGTCAATTAAATTTGATTAAAACTCTATGTCAATCAAAGTGTGTAAACTTAACAGTTAGAGATAAAAAGAGTATATATATATATATATATATATATATATATATATATATATATATATATATTAAATGCAAACAAAATATTGAAAATATTTACTCATATCTTGAATTTTCAAGGAAAAAGAAATAATCATCATTCATCTTATTCAAAATTTATAACTTTGTAAATCAAGGTTAACTTAATAGCAGTATTTATTGAGTTTAATTAAATGCATCATTGAAGATTTTTGATGGATTGAAGTTTAATATCTAACACTGAAAATATTTTTAGTGAGAAAATAATGAAATCAAATAATGAGAGATATTGAATTTTTTTTACAAAGGGGTATTGTATGTTTATTTTTATCAATGAAAAATATAAGTAATTGTGATTTATTGCTTTTTTTTTTTTTTTCCTGTTATTTATTCACCATCTTGATCATTTTTTATTGAGTTATTTACTTTCCATAACAAACTCATATTCGTATGTAAAGAGGAGGCACGTGCTATCCATTTTGGTTGTAATTTTTAATCAAGCGTACAAATAGGCACTATGAAACTAGGTAAATTATCTAGTAAATAATATCCCATGCTAATGTAGTGGTACAAGCTAAGCACTTAGAAAATGAAAATTTATGTAATATTATTTGATCATTAACTCTCATGTTTCTTAGTAATGTTTTGAATAATTAATAATGAATTCATTTATTGTGAAAATTGTGTAGATTAGACCCACTCATTAATCTGATTTAGATTTTACGGTTAAAATCAAATATTACTTTTAATTTGAGAATTTAATATCGCTTTTGTATTTAAACATTATCATAGATGGTGGACTGCTGAAACTATTGCAGTAGTAACGGGAGGTAATAGAGGTATTGGTTTTGAGATTACTAGACAACTTGCTGGTCACGGGTTGACAGTTGTACTTACCTCAAGAGATACTGAAGTTGGTATTGAGGCTGTGAAAGTATTGCAAGAAGTTGGATTGTTGGTAGAGTTCCATCAATTAGATATTGTTGATCCTCAATCCATTAAGGATTTTGCTGAATGGATTCAAGAAACACATGGTGGCCTAGATATATTGGTAATTCACTTCTTCATCTAACTTATTTTTTAATACGACAAATTGAAGATTAGTTTCTCTTTTCATTAATACTATTTGGCTATAGAAATTAATTTGATTTTGATTTCATTTGGTGTGCACAACCTTTTAACATTTATTGAATTTTAATAGTTTTTAACAAACAAAAGAAATATTCGTATTCTTACAAAAGAAAGAGAAATTTTTCTTTTGTTTGTGAATCTAGAAAAATGAAGTATAATTTTCTGGTGTATCAAAAAGAAAAAAAAATAAATAAAAACTCTTTAGGAAACAAATCTTATATATAAATAGAAAATTAAAAAGATTTAATGTATCCTTGCACTATATATATTGATACCATAAGCTGAAGTTAAAAACATGAAAATCAAATTCTTAACATGATTTGTGACATACATAGTGTTATACACTACTCTTACCATTTTCACAACAGGAATTATTATTTTTTAAAATATTTGTGTATTTAATTATGTTTGAAAAGCTTGCTAGGAAAGATATGAATTTTTTTCTAAGCCAGTTGATTATTGGGAAGAAAAATAAATACCGCGTAAGAGGGAACGGATTAATAGTGTGTAAAAAGTAAATCTATTTACGAATTAGATACATAGTTGTAAGATATTCATTTGGTTAATAGAAGAAATGATATAAATTAGTTAGTGAAATATATATAAATATACATATATGTGTATTTTAAATTATCTATTTTGCTAATAATAGACTCTTTCATAATTAGTTCATTTTACAAAGTAGTTATAATTATATATAATGTTAATAATTATAAAGTAGTTATTGAAAATTACCGTACATGGTAGAGACCTAACCTAGTCATTTTAAAAATGATACATATATCCTTATCCACAAATGTATAAAGAATTTCCAATAATATCATTAAGGAATAAGATGATTGAATTCACAATATATATATATATATATATATATATATATATATATATATATATATATATATATATATATATATATAATACTTTTCATTTTATCTTGTCTATACAGTTGTAATACTTTTTAATTTTTATATTCAATTCTATCACTTTGGCGATATAAGGTTGAAATGTTCATTTAGGGGTACTTAGGGTTACCTAAAATTATTATCTATTTGAACGTTAAGTTAGACAACACAATAATACTACTCTATGCTACTTTTTTTTGTGTATAAAATGTAATTTAAACATATGGTATAAGCCATCCCAAATTTTATATTGTAATTACAAACTAAATAATTTTAAGTAAATTAATTGGGAAGTTATGTATATACTTTTTAACATTCAATTATTTTGTTTATATCGTTCAATTCTATAAAGATGCTCATACATTCTTTTTACGGCAATTTCATGAAATGCCACTGAATACTTAAAAAATTCACCAAATGCCATCGCATTTTTCAGAATTCACCAAATGCAACTGAAGTTTAGTATAATATCACCAAATGTCATTTCCGTTGGTTGACCGTTAGTTGACCCAACACTTGCCATGTGCCACCTTCTGATTGGTTCGTTTTTAAAAAAAAATAAACAAAAATTAAAAAAACAAAAACCAAAAATATTAAACAAAAAAAAAAAGAAATTAGAAAACCCAACCCCCACCCCTCCCCTGACTACCTAGCCCCACTGCCCACCGGAAATTAAAAAACCTAGCCACCACCAATCCCCCCTTGCCCCACCAGAAAATCCACCCAAATCCATCTGCCGGCCAGCCACCCCCTCCTCCTGCCCCGTCGCGTCCCCCCTCCTTCCCCTTTAACCACAACCCCCATCCCCTTAAACCCCTCTCTCTCCTCGAAACAACCACTAAAACCCCAAAATCGCAGCCACTAGTCAAAGTTCGGCAGCCCAGCGAAGAGGAGAATGGAAGTCCGGCAGCCTCCCACTAGAAAATCCCACTCAATACCCCATTCCCCTCCCCTTTTCGATTTCCGGCCACCCCACCCAAAACACTCTTCCCCTCCCCTTTTTGTTTCCGGCCACCCACCCACCCACACAACCCAAAACTCCATTCCCCTCCCCTTTGCAATTTGTGTGTAATTTCTTCTTCTCATTGCAATGTAAGTATTTCCATGTATAATCCTTACTTCATTGTCGAATTCATACACATTTTTGAAAAATTCGAAAAACCCCTTTGAAAAATCGATTTGGAGCTTTCTCATATGATGCTTGTTTGATGAAATTGTTTGTCCCATGTTGTTGCATTCTTGATTGTGAGCATTTTGATAGTAATTTTGTAGAAAATGGTGAAGAAATGAGCATGTTGGGTTCTTGCCTTCGAGCTTGAACGTGGGTTTTAATGGTGGTGGAAAGATGACAGAGAGGGAATGAGAAAGATGGTGGTTTTCTTTTTTTTTTTTTTATTATTTTTTTTTAATTTTTTTGGGTTCTTTTTTAAAAAAATATTTTTTTAAAAAAACGAACCAAGCAGAAGGTGACACGTGGCAAATGTTGGGTCAACTAACGGTCAACCACCAGACACTGACGGTCAACTAACGGAAATGGCATTTGGTGATATTATACTAAACCTCAGTGGCATTTGGTGAATTCTGAAAAATGTGATGGCATTTGGTGAATTTTTTAAATACTCATTGCCATTTCATAAAATTGCCGTTATTTTTATTCCTTTAATTTATGACATTAAAAAAAAAAAACCTCTCTTTCACCCTCCATTACAGCAACACTCCACTAAATGGGTCAACTTTTATTCCTAATTACTTTTTTCTTTTCTATGAAAAGTCAAAATAGAGGAATATTTACATTTGTTTACCATATTCTTTAGTTCATTAAGGTACAATAAACAAAAACACCTTTATGGAATAGGGAAGTATAAACTTTAAAAGAAAAGGGTAGAAAAGGGTATTCTAGTCAATTATCTTTCAATCTATCATCATCTTAATTTGCATGTGTTTCTATTTCAAGTGAGTTAATTAATAAGAAATGGAGGTTGAGTGTGTTTACGCATGCACGTATATGCTAAATGTTTGTATAGATGAAAGCATAATGAGTTTGTATGATTGTTAAAAATATGATGATGAACTCATTTAGACCTAATATATACTTCCTTTATTTTCATTTCAATCTAAACTTGTATATAAGTGGATTTTTTTTTTTTTTTATTGTAGTGTATTTAGGACTTCGATGACAATAAGACATGAATAAATTTATATAGGAATAATCGTATCTTGATAATTGTGTTCTCAAATTTGGTGTAATACAGGTAAACAATGCAGGCATCAATTTCAATGTTGGATCAGAGAATTCCGTTGAACATGCAGAGCAAGTTATTAGAACAAATTATTATGGAACTAAAAATGTTATTAATGCTATGATTCCCTTGATGAGGCCTTCTTCTTCCGGTGCTCGCATTGTGAATATTAGCTCAAGGCTAGGAAGATTGAATGGCAAAAAAAATGTAAGTTAAAACCTAATATGAGATCTATTTTAAAATAAATATCAACTTTCTACTATTATTATAAATAATTAGAGAAACTAATTTCAAAGCTCTAAATTGACGAATGTAAGAATAAAACTAAGTGAATAGTATCAAACCAAGGTATTTAACCAAAAAAAAAAAAAAAGGAAAGGAAAAGTCAGATGTGAGTTAATGGAAATAAAATGTTGTTTAGAGGCATATATATATTACTCTGTCCTATATCTAAATAAGTGCATGATGTTGATTGGCACACATGTTAATGCACAACTTTAACCATTAATATTTTTTAATTTCATACAGTTTAACTTATAAACATATGTGATGCGGAAACGGATATGGGTTAAGGTGTTTGGGTGATGGGTTATGTGTCTAGGCTAGGTGTTTCTGTGGGAACAAGGTAAGGAAAGAACGAAGTTCCTGACAACGAGGAACTCGAGGGTTGATTAGCAAGGAACACTCGCAATACTAATCAAGGATAAGTATGGTTAGAGTTTAACACTCACTCTACTAACCATAAACAAGCTGATCCCGAACACTCCGGATTAAACTCACAAACTCGAATCCACGAGTTCAAGCTAAACTTGAATCCACAAGCTTAAGACAAATAAGACATAAAATATCTTGAATTGTTATATTTCATTAAAAGTTTGATAGATGAATGAATTACAACCTAGAATAAAACTTCCTTTTATAGGCTAAGGAAGTAGCTAGTTACATTAATTATCTTCTTAGCTAAATTAAAAAGGAACTTAAAAGTCACCAACTAGCTAAAAGAACTCAAAAGCTGGCAGGTACCATCAGCCCTCATGTGTAACGTTTCCCTTGGAAATCGTCACATATTAAAGACTAATAACTGCTGAAGTTCCTTTAGAGGAGTTCCTGAAGGAACTCGCTGTAGATCCGCCCAGCTTCTCCCTTGTAACGGTTGACTGTTACAATGTTATTACAGCCACTTTAAGCTTAGCTAATTACTTCTAACAACTGAAAATAAACATATAATTAACTAGTATTAGAAAGCAATTAAACTAAGGGAATTCAAACTTCAAAAGAAACATCCAAGGGGCGTGTAACCTCCTTCATAAACGCCACATTGAAGCTTGTAACCTCCCATTGATTGCTTTGTTGGATGCCTTCATTTACTTGGGAAATTGGACTGAAATTCGAGGGAGGATATTCCCTCGTCTATGCTAGTACTCACGCCCAAGCATCCAAGGCAAACACTTATTAATAGTCCACCCAAGTCACGCAAGACTTGATTGGAGAAGAAGCTATGACAAATCCTATGCGTGAACCTTGATGGAACTTGGACCCTTGTATGAACAAACCACGAACTAAAGGAACTTGATCTAGTTGAACTTTGGAACATGTTAATGGACCCTTCGAACCATGCATTGGACCACTAGACTCGTTAGCTTGTAGTGCACCTTGAACGATATCCAATTCCGGATCATTCCCTCCTTCCTCGAAAAAGCTTGTCCTCAAGCATTCATCATCCAAGTAAGGAGTGAGATCACCCACGTTGAAGGTTGAGCTCACATCTCCATAGTCGCTAGGAAGTTCAATCTTATAGGCACTCTCACCCACCCTTTGGAGCACACGAAATGGACCATCCGACCTAGGCATGAGCTTGTGTTTGCGTAGGTTAGGAAAACGTTCCTTCCGAAGATGGAGCCAAACTAAGTCACCCTCCTTGAACCGTGGTTGAGAACGGTTCTTGTTGGCCTTAGCTTTGTATCTTTCGTTCATAGCCTCAATCTTCTCATGAACCTTCTTGCAAGTCGCTTGAAAAGACTCCTACCTTTTCTTAGCATCTCCATGCACCAACTCGGACTTTGGCAAGGGAATGAGTTCCAAAGGTAGCAATGGGTTGAGACCATAGACCACTTCGAGCGGACTTTGGCCTGTAGTGTAAGATGGAGTCCTATTGTAAGCGAACTCAGCATGAGCTAGCTTCAAGTCCCAGTCTTTCTGTGTTTTACTCACAAGTCCACGCAAAAGAACACCCATGGTTCGATTTGTCACCTCAGTTTGCCCATCCGTTTGAGGATGGTGTGAAGTACTAAACAAGAGTTTAGTCCCTACAAGTTTCCACAACATTCTCCAGAAATGGCTAAGGAACTTGGTATCACGATCCGAAACAATGGACCTAGGAACACCATGTAAACGAACCACTTCTTTGAAATACAAATCAGCTACTTTAGATGCATCATCGGTTTTATGACATGGAATGAAATGAGCCATTTTTGAGAAACGGTCCACCACCACCATGATACTATCATTGCTCCTTTGGATTCTAGGCAAACCCACCACGAAATCCATGCTCACAGCTTCCCATGGAACACTAGGAATCGGCAAGGGACATAAAGACCCTTGTGAAAGGTACTTTTGGACCTTTGGCAAGTTGCACACCGTTCCACCACATGGCTCACGTCTCTAGTCATGTGAGGCCAATAGAAATGTTCTTGAAGTATTTCCACCGTCTTATGAACACCAAAGTGGCCAGCCAGGCCGCCACTATGAACCTCACACACCAAGAGTTCACGCACCCCACATCTAGGCACGCAAAGCTTGTTGCCTTTGAACAAATATCCATCCTGTATCACAAAATCATTAGAAGGATTGTTAAATAGGTTAGAAAAATCATCATCATCAGCATATAAACTTTTCAATTGTTCAAAACCCAAAATATGTGTTTGAGCTATGTACAATAAAAAGTTTCTTCTTGACAGAGCATCGGCAACAACATTCTTCTTTCCTTCCTTGTACTTGGAACTGAATGTGAATGACTGTAAAAACTCAACCCACTTAGCATGGCGTGAATTAAGTTTTTGTTGGCCATTGATAAATTTCAAGGCCTCGTGATCCAAATGGAGGACGAATGGTTTTGGCCGCAAGTAATGGGACCAATGATCAAGAGCACGTACTATGGCATAGAACTCCCGATCATAGGTAGAATTAGTTCAACTTGGCACCGTTCAACTTCTCACTGAAATAGGAAATAGGTCATTTATCTTGCACCAAAACGACACCTATCCCCACGCCACTTGCATCACATTCAACCTCAAACAACTTATCAAAATCAGGCAAAGCCAAAACTGGAGCAGAACATAGTTTAGCTTTAATTTCTTCAAAGGCCCTTTGCGCAGACTCGTTCCATTTGAACACCTTGTCCTTAAGCAATTCGGTCAAGGGAGCAGTAATGGTGGAGAAGTTTTTTATGAAGACTCTGGAGAATGAGGCTAACCCATGAAAACTTCGGACTTCATGGAGATTCCGTGGCACCTCCCATGTGGAGATGGCCTTCACTTTGCCGGGATCAACCTATATACCTTCACTAGATACAATATAGCCTAGGAAAGTATTACTATTACAGAAGAAATCACACTTCTCTAATTTTCCTGTAACACCCCAATAATTCTCTCTTTAAAACTTGTATTAACCTGTAATAACCTGTATAATCTATAGTAACCTGTAATCACCTGTAAATACTTTTAATAACCTGTGAGAGAATTACTGGCATGCTACCGCCACGTGTTCAAACGTTAAGGCTAGTTTCAGAAATCAGCAGCGGAAAACTAACTTAGTTTTAAGAAAAAAAAAGAAAAGAATATAAGTTTCAAAACTAAAAGTCAAAACTCAACTTAGTCTTACAAGTTGGAACCATAACGGCCCTTATTCAAAATCTAGTATAATAGGAAGTATGGAATTAGAACCAAAATAAAATTCAATCTATGATATAAAATAAGCTAAGTGATTAACCAACGCTCCACTCAAATCCCATCACCCTGATGCAAATCAGTTTATGCAAAAACCTGTGATTAATCTGCTCCCCAATATTACAAGTGTAAGAATTGGATCATTACAAGGTCATTGAAGGCGAAGGCCATGACCAAGAGAAACACACAAAAGCACGTCATCAACAACGCTGAGTACATACAAGCTACGAAATATAGTAAAGAGTCTTAGCATGATACTATCAAGCACTCCATACACTCACAATATAATCATTGACTCGAACACATGATTTAATTGTTACTTATTACAAAGTTTCTCTAAATAGTATTGATCACATCATTAATTTAATTGGATTAAGCAATAGACCGGGTTGTCCCCCTGTGCTCCATTCCGGAACATTAACTAAGAAAACCCTATGCCTCCTTTCGGAAGACATTAATAAACATCCAATGGCAGACGGGCGAGACTCCGTGGCCATAGCTAGTATGAGATCTCATCTAACTCATTATAATTTTAAAAGAATTTAAAACAAGAGACTCGTAGATTAGACGGCCTCTGAAAAGTGCACGGCTAATACCCCGTCAACCCCAACCCCTGTTTGTCATTACTCTAGATGTGCACAAATCTAGAGTTTTATTGCTCATCCTTCTTGCACTTTACGTGATTTACCAGTTTAAATTTGGTGATGAATCATATGCAAACAACACAACCAATCATACATCAATCATTCAAATCACTCAAGTTTCCAATTTAATTCTTAATTTATTAGTGACAAACAACATTTATTATTGAATCCTTTAACTAACTTGGTGTATAAACACCTTAAGTGCATAAGGCACCTTATATCCACAATCTTGTCTTATAAGACTTTAACTCTTCCTTTACTCATTCCATTTCAATACAAATGAATAAGTAGTTAAAAAGATTCATTCCATATATATATACTTGTAGCTTTGCTTCTAAGCTCTCTTTGCAAAGTATTGCATAAATAATGCTCATAAGGAAAAATCAATGCAAATTTCTCATACATAAATTAAACCAATCATCACATTTATCATCAATCAACTCATTACCAAACAATTTCAACCAATCCACAAGTTCCCTAGTATGATTCTAGGTTTTTCCAAGTCCCTAAACATGCTCCTAAAATCAAGTTTTCTCGTATTCTTATACGTACCTTAATTCAATCATCTTTCCAACTAGCCACAATGCTAGAAATTACTCAACTTAAAGTCTCCTACAATACCAAATACATAAACTCAATTACTTCCTTGATTACACAAATTTCTAGCAACTTTTAAACACTTTAAACCTTCTCTAATAAGCTGAAATTTTGGTTTAAAACCTTTAAAACTCTTTGTTTAAGTGGGTGATTAAAACCACAAAACAAAAACTCATTCATGGTATTTA